GAGAATATCCGCTGAACGCAAGCAGCGTACGCTATTCTGTGTCAGCCGCGCTGCACAGATGCGCTGTTTTCGTTCAAATCAAAGCGTAAATACACGTAGAAAACGTATCCTTGTGGCGCAGCTGACACAGAATAGCGTATGCTGTTTGCGTTCAGCGGATATTCTCCTAAATGGTGCTACGGTGATGCGGAGAGACACAGAGGAGACAAATTGTTGAATAAAGTCGTTATTTTTGTTTTCTTCGCATACAAAAAGTATTCTCGTCGCTTCATAACGTTACGGTTGAACCGCTGATGGCAGATGGACTATTCTGACAATGTCTTTCATACTTTTCTGGACCTTGACAGTGTAATTTACTTGGCAGTCAATGGGACAGTCACAAGCCTCCCGGTTTTCATCCAAAATATCTTAAACTGTGTCCCGAAGACGAACGAAGCTTTTACGGGTTTGAAACGACATGGGGGTAAGTGTTTAATGACAACATTTTCATTTTGGGGTGGAGTATCCCTTTAATTTCATCAGCTGGTCACGGACACCACCTGACTGCTCAAAGAAAAACCTGAGATCCTTGTTGTCAATGGTGCATAAGAACAAAATTATATTCCTCAAACGGAATATTCCTCAAAATGGAATTCAAAAAATAATGACTGTTTTCGAGAAAAAAATACTATGGAAGTCTCTGTGGACCAGCAACTGTTTGGTTTTCCACCTTCTTCAAAATAGCATTTATCTTCCGCAGAAGAAAGAAACTCATTCAGGTTTAAAACAACATTTGAGTGAGTAAATGATGGTATAAAAATAAAACACTATGCTAGAATTGACAGACAGATGACAGAAGTTTTATTTTTGTGTGAAATATTCCTTTAGTGTTAATAAAACAACAAAAACACAAAGAGAAAAATTACTCGCTACTCTTGACTGAAAAACTTTAATACAGTTGCATTAATAGGAATCAATCTATATATTGTTTTATTCTTATATTTGTTCATTAAATTCCTTGAATGCTCCTGCTAAATACACCTATTGTGCCTGAAAATAAAGCACTGTTTGTTTTATTTGTATATTATGTGTAGTTGTGATGTGTATCTTTGTTCTTATTTTTTAATAACAAAGATAAAATAATGACAACGATTTTTATCTTCACCCACTGTGGCCTAAATATCCACCATTCTTTTTTATATTTTGTTACCTTGATATATGATACCTATATTTTGTAAAGCTTTGTCTTTATAATAGGGAAATTAGTTTGGCTGTAATGCTCAGACAACTTGCAAAATAGTAAAACCAATATGACAAAAAAAATCGTGATAGAATCGTGATACTTCTAAAAAAAAATCGTGATTTTTTTTTTTTTTCTCATATCGCCCACCCCTAATTGTGAGATAAAAAGTCGCAATTACTTTTTTTTATTCCATGTCCAAAACAAACTTGAAGTACTAACTTAGTAGGCCCATACCTGTGCCTAGTGCATTGACTACCCTTACGAAAAAGAAGTTTATTCAAGTGTGCTATACTTCTTTTAAACTATAAAATAGGAAAGTATACTTTTAGTCTACTTTTTATGTACTTCTCAGAAATGGGCTTTATGTACTTCTCAGAAATATACTTAAAATTGCATTTAAGTATACTTGACTTATAGCCTACTTAGAAAAAGTCTAACTATATTTGAGCTATACTTGTGTTCCTAGAATCCGTGTTTTCATTGTTATACTGTAGGGGCGCTAGTACACATCTTCTGTACAGAATTTCCAAAAAACACAAGTGAAGAAGAAACCGAAACAACAGATGCTTCCACATATATTCTAACATGATCATCAGACATAAAACAG